TCACGCGAAACACTGGTAATGGAGGCAAAAGTCTGCGCCCCTAAACATATAACAACTCCAGTCGTAGTCCACTATAAAGATATCTAAATCGTCGGCATTTGTGTCACACGTATTGCGGACTAATATATTGCGACGATTGAGATCGTTGTGCGTGAAGACTACCGGCCCTCCCAAACCCACCGACACCTCTATAGCCCACGACATCTCATCGCATAAATCCATTTCCATAAATGTCTGCAATTTGTGTCTTTGGATCTCCTCATAGATGTGTCCCTTTTTGTAGGACTCGAATACCGGCCCCACAAAAATATCCAAATAGTTTTTCATAAGGAATTGGTGGCTGTCCTTAGTTATGGGTACGTCTAATGAATGCATTTTTGCCATCTTTTTGGCTAACAGTGCCACACATCTAGGGTTCAGGTCATCCTCGGCAGTGAAGTAATGGCACTGTTTTTGGGTTACATTTTATTAGAGATTATATTTTTAAATAAATTATTTATTTACGTCAATATATTCAGCAATGAATCCATTCCCAAATATGCCTAATATTTTTGGTGATATATCTGCCTGCGATGCAAATATATTTGCAACCAATTCGTGTGTCTTATCAAAAATTTTATCAGGACAGTCCACATTAAATCTGATAAAAACTTTATCATGACCGGTTTGTGCACTTTGCGGCAAACTGCAGCAATATGATTTGTTTACTATACCGCCCCTGGTAAACAAAATTAATTGTTCATGACACAATTATTCAAAACATTGTAATTTTTAAAAAAATATATTACAACACTAGTAGACACTTACGTAACGCGTTTGATGTCCAATTGATCGGCACTAACATCACTCCAATGGCCGCCTAAATGTGTTTTACATAATTCATACACTTTTAGCTGATCCTCAACAGAGACCCTGCTTTCAGAGTTTTGTGATTCTCTGCCCAAATTTTTAAGCATTTCTGACATTTTGCTTGTTTAGATTAAATTGGTTTGTATTACAATTTAGTCCTACAATTTGAATATACTATACTGCTTAACTAAACAAAATAACTATAAATTAAATTTTATATTTAACTTGCAAAAACCTTGACTGCCTGTACAAAATACAACAGAATTCAAATATTTATCTGTTTATATATTAGTATTTTATCAATTTTGTTTTTGAGATTGTATAAAGCACATGTGTTCAATTGTAATAGGTTGTTTTCAATAGAGACTATTCATGTAACTTATTAAGTTCATGTGTGCACAAATTATTTGAATGCATTTAATTGAAACACTTTTATATTACAGTGTATTTCCACAAGCGCTTACTGTACTATTATATGTCTCATAGAATTTTAATAATTATGAATTTTTATTTCTAGTCTTTTTGTCATATTTTAATTTATGTTAACAAAAAAAATGTTAAAATTATTGTAATAAATATTTATAAATAAATAAAAATAATTTAAAACTTTTGTCAAATTCTTTATAATGCATAGCAATTCTGTTAATAAAAATTAACAACATAATTCTTAGAAAATACAGATCAATTAACAATAATTACCTAGTAAAAATACAAATAAAAGTTTAAACAAACTTGAGATATGAGATAATATAGGGACAGGAGTTTAAAGGGCCGGGATGTGCCGTTCGAGCTGACGGTATCAAGGCTCTTTAAAAACTTAGCAACACCTAACCATGGTTAAATATAAGTTTACTTTTATTTAGCATATAAAATCAATACGGTTGAAACAAGATGAAAATTTATATAACCAACTAAACAAGTAAAATAATTTTCAAAAAAAATCTTTAATTTTGTTTGCATCACAAAAATCAACTATAAATCCAGAAATAATTTCAAAATAATTTCAAAAACATTTTAAAATAAAGGTTTAGCAAAATGTGGGGCCAGTGCTTTAGGACTTTGACCGGTGCAGGTAGAGAAACCCCGACCCAAACCGGTGGGGCACCGATACCACAAGATAGGAGATCTCTAGTTTCACAAATAGGTAGTCTCCCTGTGACGACCCCCAGATTAAGATACACTTCCGGCCCTCCAGTGCAGGTAGAGAAACCCCGACCCAAACCGGTGGGGCACCGATACCACAAGATAGGAGATCTCTAGTTTCACAAATAGGTAGTCTCCCTGTGACGACCCCCAGATTAAGATACACTACCGGCCCTCCTATGCAGATACAAAGTGAGGCACTGACCCAATCCAATGTGAGATCAATCGTAAGGAATCTTCCATCGCCTTATGGACAGATAGTTAGTGGAGCACCGGTAGGCACAGCGCGCACAGGTTTACCACCGGTAAGTACTCTGTCATCGCCGGTATAGTCGTGAGGATTACTTCAACGCCTCCTATTAGCACACAATCCGGATCAACACCGGGAGTACAATCTACATCACCCACAGACATACAACCTTCAGGGCCCGTGTCAGCACCGGTAGTCCAGACACAGTCCTCCAGATATAGGCTGACCCGACTGAGTGATCGGACAGAGGACTGGCAGCAGAGGTATAAAGACTGGCAATCGGTGGGCAATGAAGTGAACAGACCTTACGGACAGTTCTTA